GATGGTGCTCAGGAAATGTAAACCCTAGTGAATTATAGTGCCAGTTGGTCTGCATCCCAATTTCAGATTCCTGGGAGCAAGTCACTGCTGGGCTGTCAGGATGAAAACATCACACTGATCTCAAGGGAATCCCCTCACACAGAACATGGGAACCCCATGGTGCTTCAATCCGGAGAAGGAACAGGGCTTCAGAAGCCACTGCATGGTGAGAGCAGCTCCCGAAGAAAGTAATGACCAGTGGTACAGGTACCTACCAAGGTGATTTCAGCTCCTTCAGCTCAATTTGGGGGTTTAAAACATGGCCCTAGGGCTATTTGACACTTCTCCTATTGGGAAGAATGGGTCTTTGTGATTTCCCTTGGATCAGGGCTTCATGGCAGTGTGACTAGGAGATAAGGGCACAAATACTGTGATGTGTTCAGATCTGGGTCTTTAAAAATCAAAAATGTTCATTCCACCACTCTTGGGCTGCTCACTGCACCACAGCAAAGTGGGGAAACCCAAGCTGCCCTTGGAAAGCCCCGGACACCAGCACCAGAGGTGAGTGAGCCCTATTGGAAGGTCAGCTTCCAGCTACTGTCCAAATTGCCGCGCTTAGCCCTGTGCGGCAGAGATGAGCCTTCCCTAAGGCTCACTTGCCAACTGCAAACCCATGAGGTAAATAAAGGAGCGGTGGCGTTGTTCAGCATTGTCTGGGGATGAACTATTATGCCACAGTTACTGTATTAAGGCAAGGTAACGAGACAGAGGGCAGGAAAGCAAAAGCTCTTGGTAAATCACCGAGAGTCAAATCAGCTTTCCTTTGTATTGTTCCAAGGTAAATAAGCAGCAAAGCCAGGGTTCCCAGGCCAAGTGAGCAGCTGGCCTGCGTTCAAGGGAGAGGAGGTGACTGCTAAAGGCAGAGACCAGAGGATCAGGATTGGAGGAGCGGAGCACTAACAAAGGGGAACTTAGGCAGGATGCTACAGTCTCTCAAGTCTCAGTGCTAAAGGTGACCCTGGAAGGCTGTCTGAGCCCTTTCCTCCAGACAGGTATGAAGAATATTGATTTTATTTTAAAAGTTCTACAAGGAAACAAATGCTGGTGTCTAGCAGTAAGTTTGAGTTATTTTATATTCTCTGTCAGGAAACTCTAACCCAAGTCTCTCTGGTTTCCTATGCAGCCTATATCTTCAGGTTGTCTGATAAATTAGGGGACAGAAGTAGAAAGTCCAAATGGAAAGCAATTTAGGGAATTTGGCTAAAGAAGAAGAGCAAGACAAAGTGGCAGCCTGACAGTGGGGCGGGAGCCAGAGGTGCTGCATAAACCAACGCGCCAGGCACCTGCATGTGCCAGTACCGCCGTGGTCACAGTGTGTCTGCCCGGAGGGTGCTTCCAAAAGCCTCAGTTGCTTCACAGGGCCATTTTGTTGTCTTTTAAAAAAACATTTGCCCCATCATTTTAATGTATGTTTTGTAAATTGCATAAAATCTAGCAGTCATGCATTATTGTGCACACCAAGATGCAAACACCACCAAAGAGATCTTTGTGAACCAGGTTGTATGTGATCATTTCCCTCCTGTAGCTTTTTTTTCCTTTTTTTGCAGAGTTACCCTTGAACTTGCCTGAAATGGCCTTTTATTTTCCTGCTACACTGGATCTACCAAAAAGCTGAAGCAAGGTAGGCTAGGCTGAAAATATTGTACAAACCAAAGACAATTAGCGGCTGGTACTACTGCCGCCATATTACTGCTATGCACACGCAGACTTAAGGCGACCTACTGGGAAATAAGAGAAAGTGAGCGCTGAGAATACCGGCTGAGGCCCACCCAGCGACCCCCAAGCGGGTCGTTCCCCCGCGCAAACAGCCGCTTCACGTTTGCACGTCCTGCTTCTGTTGAAGACAGATGGAGCTGGATTTTCTGCCACCTACCATCAAAGTTCTTCACTGACAAACATCTATAAAGAAATTGTCCTGAGGCCACTGAGGCAGGAAAAGTACCTGGTAAAGGGCCCTGCTGTCTGCATGAATATCACAAAGAACCTGTCCTGGTAGCAGCACCCTCCTTTTCTCATCCAGCCACCCAGCAGCCAATCTTCTTCTGGATGGAAATGGGACTGAACACACAGGTCCTAGCCAGACACTTACCCTCCTCTCACTGCTAAGCTTCAAGGTATCAATTCCCCCAGCCCCGGTCAATTTTGACCGCTGCAGCTCAAGCCTCTGAAAGCACCTCAGGGGGTCAAGGCCAATAAGGAATTAAGGTTTCGGGATGGGAAATGAATAGCTCTATTAGAGCCAGCCTATAAAAACCCAGCAAGCATTAAGCATCAGGCAGAAGCTGTCTCTAGACAGGGCCACTTTGTCCCTGAGAACAAGGCCCACAAAAGGCTAGGAGAAGAGCTCCTCGAGTGACTTATGTACAGCAGCCTCATGGCCTATGTTTTCCAGAGCCACCTTGTTTTAAAGTATTCCATTCTGTCTTCAAGCCATGTGTCCTGATTTAAGGTTCTGAAAACACAATAAGCTTTTATCCTGAGGAAACACAGCTCCCATCACAGAGGCTAGGAGCTGCTTGTGGGAACTCAGGCAGAGAAGAGCAGGGTGGAGCCAGGGGCCCGTGCAATAGGAACAAGGGTTCCTGGTCCCCTCACACGCTGATTAACAAAGCATGGACTTCCACTAAGTTTTTAAAGGTGCTGCACAGACATTTTACATTTCAGTTGTCATGTCCTAACTGAAAAGTGTTTTAGTAAACAACTTCCTCTGAGGATCACATTTGTTCAGAGTCCAGTTGTGTTTTCCTTGCCTTCGTCTCTCACCCTTCACCACCACTGACTCCCCAGTGAACCCAGAAATTCACTGTCAGCTCTGAAGAAAAATAGTGACTAGAGTTGGGTTTGCAATAACTTCCCAGACTATGCTAAAGAAAAGAATCATTGGTCACATTATAAATGTGCCTCAGTGGGGATAGATTTTATGCAATTCTAATACTCAGGACATGTGTACACTTCACGTCAGAACATACAGTAGAAGGTTAATCTGTTCACAACTTTATTTTGACTGTGCCTCGACACTTTTTAAACTTGTATTGAAGGGAACAGCAGTGCTAGGTGCCTTAGTGAGGAGACAAACGCTCAAATTCAGTGTTTCATTGCAGCAAGGGGAAGGGATGTCAAAGCTACACAACCCATTTTGTCTATAGCCATGTAGCCCTGTATTTTGACCAGGTTTCCCACAGGAGCAAAAAAATACTGGACATCTGCAACAGAAAGGAAGACAAGTTTAGTTTGGCTCAGGACTGCAGATGATTCGGTCCACAGTAGTCTGGCTCTAAGGCAGAAACAGCATGGCGGAAGGGCGTACAGTGGAGAGAACTGCTGTCTTCTCAGCAGCGGGAAGCAAAACACGGCAAGAGCACTGTCAAGATAAAGACCCTCTAAAAGGTGCCAGTGAGCCACTTTCTGGCAGCACATTCAGCTATGAACACCAGTGGGCTAACCCGTCAATGATTACAGCATCCCAAGATCCAGTCACCTCTCCAGGAATCTCTCTGTCTAGTCAGATGGACACATAAGATTAACTGCCACACCTGCTCTGGGCACCTTTTACTCTTGTACAATGATGCCCTCTAGACTACATACCCTTGTCTCTGTATTTATGTCCATCGCAAAGCCAGCAAAAAGCCTCTCAGACCACAGAAGTAAGTTTCGGAAAACTACGACACCTGGAGCTGTAGAACTACTGAAGGCTCCACTCAAAGTAAAGCCACAGGCCTGAAGTTTGAGATGAGAAAACCTGAATTTAAATCTTAACTTTTTCACCTCTTGGCTGCATGATGCTAGGTGAATTACGTCTTGTATCATCAGCCTTTGTTTCCTCATTGTTAAAGGCTGGTTACCACACCAATCTGCCAGAATTCTGAGACAGTTCACACATTATTCTATGGAGAGCATTTGGCTCACAGCTGCCAAATGCTGACTGCTCATTCTCTAATTCCTGCCTTCTTCATCATGTAAATGAATAGGCCTACAGGAGAAAGGCAGCTGCCAGGAAGGGGCCAGGTGGGCCAGGATTAGCTGGGGTTTTTCTTTCAGAAAGAGGCTGCTGTTCTTTCTCTATTGTCCCTCCAGACCACTGAGACAAGAGAACCGCTGTGCCCTCAGGAAGACCAGCTTCTTGCATGTCCTCAGGCCCCCAGGCATAACCTCCCTGAAGAACTGGGGTGAGGCCTGGGCTGAGGCAGGAGCCGAGGATTTGCTTCCAGCCTGCTGTGCCTAGGAAGCTCTCCGTTGCCAGAGGATGCATTTCCAGTTGTCCTTCCTGTGCTGTTCTCTCCAACCTCCCGGCATCTGGCACTGAGACTCAAGCCGAGGGTTTGGGTACTCTGGACTCTACACAGCTTAGATGGTCACCTGCAGCCCCGCTCCAGGGCATGAGTGCAAGTGCAGAAAGGAAACACTGAAATGCTTTGTCTTTTGTTAGAAAAGTAACTTATGTTGATCCCAAGGAAGGAGTAGGAAACCGAAAGTTTCCAGTAACCTCCCAGAGATAACTACTATATGTTTGTCTTATCTGTGAGGCTCTCCTTTCTCCCTTGTTGAAAACTGCAGTTTTCTGTTACTCTTATTTCCCAGCTTTCTTTCAAAACAACAGAACACCCGCTAGTGGTTCCTATAAGGAACACTCCAAGATAAACCAAGCCTGTGTGGTCTGGACTGGCTCCAGGTTTCAAGGTGGAGGTAGGCTTCACTGGAAGAGGTGCTGGCGCACCCACACACACCGCACACCCTGGTGTGTCCTGCACGGGCCACACTGTGGGAAGCCGGGCACCTGCCCTGCCTGGAACTCCATAAAGCAGCAGAGGAGAAGGATGGGGGTTTGATGCATCAGATTTCTGCCATCACAGGGCAGCAGAAAGGACAGGGACAGACCAAAGAGGCCAGGCCATGCTCACTCTGCACTGCTTCACATCTCCAGACACTGTGGGCATTCGTCCCAGTCGCAAGGCCTTTCAAGGGCGGTCCATTCTGCTCACCTCTGCATCTTGAAAGGGGATGGGAACAGGGCTTGCAATTCCTCAATATTGTATTACTGTGAATTAAAGCGATAATCAATTAGTATGTCATACATTTAAATTACTTATTTATAGTGCATAATTGATAAGTTCTGTGTACATAGATTTGCTGGATCACTTAAAAAGTTTCAAGGCCTCAGATGATAACTAAGCTTCTCTTGGCACTTGGATTCTTTGCCTTCTGCTCTTTTAGGGCCTATTTCACCAAAAAAGAGGGAAACTTCACAACTCCCTGCTCTGTGGTTTTCAAAACACAAATGGCTGCTTCTCAGTGGATGGGAAGCCAGAGGAACTCTCGAGCTGTCGCAGCCAATGCAGGAGGGAAAGAATGTAAACAGCAGGTGTGGAACTGGATCTCATCCTCCGGGAGCTAATGAAGCAGAAAGGAGATGCTGGTTGACGTGCCACCACAGAAAGGAGCCTCCAGCCATGGCTCCAGGAAGAGCTGAACACCTGGGCTACCAGCTCACCTGGCTTCCTCTCATGAAAGCTCATTGGCTGGATGTGCCAGTCACAAGGTCACAGCCCAAGCAGCTGAGCAGACAGAAAAGCTGGACCTGGGCAAGTTCATCCTTGCAGGCTATGTTCCTTTGCTGGTGCTGCCGTAACCAAGTACAACATACCAGGTGGTTGAGACAACAGAATGTTTTTCTCCTACTGTTCTGGAGGCTAGAAATCTGAGCTCAAAGTGTCGGCATGGGTTAGCCCGAGGTATCTTTCCTTGTGTCTTCATGTGCCATTTCGTCTGTGTGTCTTAATCTCTTCTTTTAATGACAGCAGTTAGCCTAGATCAAGGGGTCAGGGCCCTCTATAATGAATTTGTTTCAACCTGACTACCACTTTAAAGGCCTTTATCCAAATAGTAATATTCTAAAGTACTGAAGATTAGGATTTCAACACACAAATTTTAGGGAGACACAATTCAGTCCAACAGGAGCTACAAGAAGGGCCTGCTCTCCCCACCAGTACGATTTCCACTCATTCTGTGAATATCTCACCTGGGCATCTCTATGTGTATTTTCCAGAACCCAGACTGTAGTTCAGTGCCAGTGGAACAGAGAACTGAAAGGAAAGATAGAGTTCAGCTCTGCAATCATGGAAGGATTAAAGTTTCTCACTCCCTAATGCCTGCTCCAGGGCCTTTTTCACTAGCAGACCCTAAGACTGATGTTGCTCCATTAAAGTTTAATTTTGGGGCTGGGGATTTAGCTCAGCGGCAAAAGCGCCTGCCTGGCAAGCGCAAGGTCGTGAGTTCGGTTCCCGGTACCGGAGAAAAACCAAAAA